CCAGCAGTCTCCCACATCAAGAACTAGCAAATTAGAACAATAATGTGCAATATCGTATATTGTTTTATCAGTAATATAAGTACGATGAAAAATAAGATATTGGATATTTGGACATGAATGGACTATATCATACACAGCATTATCTGTGATTCTGTAAGCAAAAGACAAGTTTAGGTATTGAAGTTTTACACATGAACGCGCGATCGCATAAATTGTTATATCTTTGATATAGAGATTGGTAGAAAGGTTTAAATATATTAGATTGGAACAATATCATGCTATTTCAATTGTGGATGTGTTAGTAAAAAACATACTACGCAAAGAAGAAGCAAGGTTCATATATTTTAATTTTGAACAGGATCGTGTTATTACACTAATGCATCTAGTAGTAATGAATTTGCATGCATTAAGACTCAGATGCTGCAGTTTCGAGCAATATTTCGTGATTTCTATAATTGGTATATTACTGAAACTATAACTTCGGTCAAGAATAAGAAATTTTATATTTGGACACGAATGTAGAATCGCCCTAAGTAATGCATCTGAGATTTTTAAACCTGCCAATTTGAGATATGCCAACTTTGAGCAATAGGGAGGTTTTGTCTTTTCACACATAACTCTTTTAAACTTCATCAATCACCAATAAAGAGGCCCAGATTTATTTTTACCACACTGGTTCTGCTGATAACCTTCTATGGAAAACTCAATGCATCACCATAGAATTGGGTGCACTGCAGTGATACCAAAGGCGATTGACAAATAAAGTAGGATAGAGCGTTTTACCCTTGACTAAGAAACTAAATATGTTTTCAAGCAACTCCGGAATAATGAGAGAGTGGGTCATGTTTATTTTTATATAAGCATTAGGAAACTTAAAGTGGTTTTTATATCCTTGGCGAAATTAGTATAAATGATTAAAAATTTAATGTGTTTACCCATACCGGCCTTTGGCTGAAATCTCGTTCTATTCATCAACTTGACAGATAGGTACGTCCCAACCAAGCTGAAAAATGTCTTGCATATCTGAAATTACGCTCTGGTTAGGTAGAACATTTATTATCAAAAACCTTATGAGGTTTTATCCAATTGGGGCTGTGAGGTCATGACCCTATTTTTAATGCTTCGATTTCTTTTTCTAGATCAAGAGGGGTGTCCTATCGAAGTGAGAAAGACTCAGATCTCAGTTTATTCAAATCTATAACTATGAACTCCTTTTGCCTCAAATAGCTATCAATAATTTTTGAAGCTTTGCGTGGATCAGCATCAGTATAAGGGCTTATAATATCTGCAAGCTTTCGAAGTGATCC